AAATGTCGGCTGTTAGGTGCATAATGAAAACAGACTGCCTGTTGGTGTGGAGAGTTATTTCCACTCAAGCAGGTGCAGAACATACATGCTGGTTGACTGGTGGCTGTAGTCTTTGTAGTGTGTTCATGTGCAACTTTTTGGCCGAGACATGGCGACATCAGGTGACACAGCAGGGGACCTTTGTCCATACTACTTTTCTAAAGTCAGTTTGGTGACATCATAACGGTTATTTTTCCAGAGACTGGAAAAATAGCTCCTGGAGTACACAAAATTACAGGAAAATCAAATGTCCCTGTATTGGCTAAATTACTGTGATGTCATGCCAACAACAACAATCCTGAGGGACACCTGGCAATTGATTTAAAGTGCGGTGATTAGTAAAATTAAGAAAATTTGATTATTTCTGATGTTTTTGTTGTGCTTATCGTGGTTCAGGAGGTAGAGCAGTCGTCTACTCAAAACGTCAGTAGTTTGATCACCAACTTTTGCAGTCTACGGCCTCTAGTTTCGCAGACCAGGCGAGGCGGAGGCGCAGCGCACCTGCACTTCGCCAACTGGGTGTGGCCAGGCGGATTTTGCAAGTTTGGCACACCATGTGCGCTGGCGCAGCTGCTTCTCTTTCCCACCTCCGTCCCTCCTACCTGCGTAAGTCGCAAGGAGAAAAGGCGTGGAGTGGGTTTTACACAGCTGATTCACATCACACCAATCAAATGAGCCCCTCTCCTCGCCCTTAAATGCGCCGCGCGAAGGCGTAATGAGTTTACTCAATTCGCCATGGCAGAAGAGAGCAGCAGCGTCAGACAGCCAAACTTCTCCCAGGAGGAAACTGATGTTTTGGTCCGGGAGGTCCAAGCTCGCAGTGTACGAATATATGGAACTGCGAGCAGACCTCCACGGGTTTCCATAACGCGTGCCAAACAGTGCCAATCCCCTTTGATCTGACATCAGATGTGACGGGACAGTCGATATAGAGATACATTTATGTACTGATTGCAGATAGTTGCATTGAATAGTGGTTTCTGTGGGTATTTATTGCATCGAGAATGTGCCTGACATTCTGGAAACCTGCCTGTGAGGTTTTGGTGACGTGTGCGCACTGTCCGCCGGTCAGCCAAACTTCAGCTTACACCAGCTGCGCTCCTCCTGCACTGACAGTAGACCTGGTTTCAGCTGGCGAGCTTTTAGCGCACCTTCGGCGAAGCCTTTTGGCACAAAAATTGTCACTGCACCAAGCTGGATCTGTCGACACCTCCCCCTGCTGTGCCGCCACACCCAACTCAGCGCACCTCGGTCTGCCAAACTACCAAACTGAGCACACCTCGGGTTGCACTGCTCGAAACTAGCTCTGCGCGGGGTTTTGCCACCCTGCGCCACCCTGCGCTGTGCCGGGAAACTAGAGACCTACATGTCAAGATAGTGTGCCCCAGTTTACTCCTGAAGATTGTGCCAATGGTGTGTGACTGCATGTGGATGTTTAGCTGATGAACAGGTGGCCCCTTGTACGTAGCCACTGGTGTGTGAATCTGTGGGTGAATTGTGCTTGTGTTTTAAAGGGATTTCAGCTCAGTAAGATTTACCATGTACTGTGTTGCTTTGCTTGCATCTTTAAGAAACCAAATTTCTCATCTTCTCAAATGACACAAACTGTTGGTCTGTCCCAGATCTCATTTTTCATATGCTGAGTCCGGAGCTGTCGTTGAGCATGTTTGCTCCTTGCATATGGAAATCTGGAAAATCCCATCCCTGCTCCAATTTTTATCGTTACCCAGCACCTCTATACTAAAGACTTAACATTAACCACTGTCTCCGGATATCCTCACCTGTTTGCTCAGTGCCGCTAAATTGTATGTATATGCCGCAGGTTTTGTTTTTTTTTTTTGTTTTTTAAGGTAGATGTGATTTCTGAAAGGAAAATATAACCAGAGTCAACAGTTTTGCTGACTTCCTTGAACGGGTTTGATTCTCTGCCTGTAAAGTGAACCACAGCTACGTGTACAGCCAAAACCACATGCACATACAGTATACACACACACACACACACACACACACACACAGCAGAGATGACAACACTGTAGTTGGTGTAGGACTCTTATTGATGGCTGATTAAAGAGACCTGCTAATCCTGGGTTGTAAATAATTGTGAGGCATTCTGGGCCAGCTCAGTGTTGACGTATAAACAGTCATTTAGACAACCAGTGGGGGTTGTTTTTGGTTCTTTGATGTTACAGTCTGTATACTCTAGTATAGCTGATATTAGTATGTTGCAGTATTTCTCCTACCATTATATTAGGGGGGCGCCCCAGCCCCCCCAATGGCTATTTCTATTTAGCGCCAGATCACAACAGAAGTCATTTAAGGTTACCTTTCCTATAGAACAGGGGTCCGTTTCACAAAGCAGGTTTAGTGAAAACTCTGAGTCTGTTAACCCTGAAATGAGGGAAACTCTGGGTTTTCTGTTTCAGAAAGGGAGGTAACTGAAGCTCGGTGTCAGTTACTATGGCAACTGACTCTGTGAACCTAACCTGGTCGGGAGCAGGTTTTCTTCAATGAACCTCGAGTTTCTAGCTGTCTCCTCCCTCTTACGCCACACACGCAGTGTGATTCATTCATTCATTCGTTTAATGTCGCATAGGTTTCAGCGAGTTTGATCATCTGTCCTCAAGGTAGGCTAAAGTTGGATCCTAAAGTGTGTTCGAGTTCTAAATCTACTTTTTTCGACCATGGCATGTCCGTTCTTGGTGGACCCTGTGGACTAAGAGGCAGTGTTACTGAGGAGGGAGTTACGCATTTGTCGGGAGATTATTCACAGGCCCAGAATTGACGTATTATCATTTCCAGAACTTTTTTTTTTTTTTTTTGAGTGTACTCTCAATTCAATATTTACAACTTCCAAATCTGGGAAAAACACTTAGATTTTTAAAAAACTACAATTCCCTGGGACCGCGCCATGCAGTTTGATACATATCAGCAACATAGTTGTAGTTCTTCTGATTTGCAAAGTAGGGCTCTAAATAGGGTTGTAAAAAGATATATTTACTGAATATATCTAATATCAAGTAAAGCCGAACGAGTTATTACACTCCACCTAGATGAACTATGGTAAGAAAAAGTAAAGATGTCCGCTAATTTTCGATATTTTAGCTAATACACTAGAAACAGCGTTTTTGGGACAGTAGGTTCTTTTGCGGCATGTAAAATAGGGTTGTAAAAAGCTAGATCTACTGAATAATTCTAATATCTAGTAAAGCCGAAGTAGTTATTACACTGCACCTAGATGAACTATGTTAAGAAAAAAAGCAAGGATGTTGGCTAATCGTAGTTATTTCAGATAGTACTCTAAAAACGGCGTTTTTGGGACAGTAGGTTTTTTTGCGGCTTGTAAAACAGGGTCGTAAAAAGATACATCTACCGAGTATATCAAATGTCTAGTAAAGCTGAACTAGTAATGACACTGCACCTAGATGAAATATGTTATGAAAAAGTAGGCATGATGGTTCATTTCAGATATTTTAGCAAGTTCTCTAGAAACGGCGTTTTTGTGATTGAATATTTGAATAGGCTATAACAAATATCTAGAACAGCCGAACTGTCACGTTATTATCATTATTATTATTATTGGTGGGAAATTATAACAGAGGAATATATTTGCCATTTTAATATCAGGAACACTTCGGCGTTTTTGTGTGTATACAGGAATGTTAAAGATATCATTGAGGAAAACGAGGTTGACGTGACGTGATTGAATCAGGGAATCCGTGTGTCCACCACGGGAGAGGATCCTAATTGACTTTACATTGGCATTGTTTTCGTGGTGACAGCACGTAATTTCAACCCATTACGTGCTGCCACCACGGAATGCGGTGTTAATAGGTCGTGGTCATTTCACGTATTTCTGTGAGATCAGGTTGGTACCGGCACGTAATTTCCACCCATTACGTGCTGCCACCACGGAATGCGGTGTTAAGAGGTCGTGGTCATTTTACGTATTTCTGTGAGATCAGGTTGTATTTTTACTTCTGTGGTGGTGTGTCTGTGTCACTCTGCAATTACACCTCCAAAACGCTAGTCTGTGGTGGAGGACTGTGTTAAGTGCTGTAAAGTTTAGTTGATTCAAAATACACATTAAATATGGCTTAATAGAGACAATTTCAAACACAAGTACGCAAATTGGCTTCACTATAAATCACAGCATTGACAGACAAACACGCCTTCATCTGGACACATTTCCCCCAGCTAGGCTGGGGCTAGGCTAATTTGTGTAAATTATTAACGATCTTTCCCTTGTTTCATATAAAACCAGGGACAACAGCAACATTTAACAAAGGTAACGGCACATAATTTGGCTCCATTACAACTCAGTTGTAAGATTCACCAACAAACCAACTGTTTCATACTAAACACATTTTCCAAGCAAATACAACATGCTAACGTTATTAACGCAAGCCTATGGCATTTTACATTGTACAAATTAGCCTAGCAGTTCGCGATCTTTCCCTTGTCTCACATAAAACCTGGGACAACAGCAACATCAGGTCTGCGTCACCGCGACGCTGAGCGTTAGAGTGGGCAAGTTCAACATTGTGTAAACAAAGGGGGTGTTTTGAAAACACCCCCATTTTCACAGGCAACTTAGCCTGTCCCCCCCGCCCTCCCCTCCCGCCGCAGGAAATAATGGATTAATCCTGGAAAGCTATTGATGTAGCACTTTTCTCCTTGTGTAAGTAACACAGCGATTATTTGACCAATGAGAATTTGGTTGGACTAGAGCATATCGACCAAATAATTGACCAGTCGACCAGGAGACAACAGCCCCCCTTGTGGTGTGGCACACTAATACCCACAAAATATAAGAAACCAAAATATAAGAAACCAAAACAACAAAACACCCATATTGGCTCCAACAACACATTTAAGTACTGTATGTCAACTACCACTGGATCTGAGCCATAGTATTTCTAGAGTAGTGCAGTTTTTGAATAACTGTCTCGTACATTTTGCAGGTGGGTCAGCCCCTCTGACAACAACGAACTACAGTTCCCACATTCCTCAGATAGGATGTTTCTGTGGGCAGGAAGTAAAGCAGCAGATGGAAGAAATGACCGCAGGTATTGAATACTGTCTTACCCAGTTTGTTTCAGTGTTTATGCATAAATATGTCAGGACTAGAAAGAGCAGCATTTTCTGAAGAAAGTTAAAATGTGCTGAAAAAACAGGTATTACATTCACAGACATAGTTAAAGGCGCTGTATGCTACATTCAGTGTTAGTATTGCAACAAACATCTGTAGAGAATGAAGTCACGGTCCCTCTGTGTGTGTTGTAACCTGAGCTTCTTGTTCTTTGTTGTGGTAGCCGGTCCAGTGGCGCATGCATGTCAGTGCACGTGACTGCTGGGACTCTGAGGTTTAGGGAGTTTTGCGATTACATCTCTTCTTGGGAAGAATCCCTCATCTTTCTCCTTGAAAGTAAAGTTTGGTTTACCATATCCAGCTTTGCCTCTTCTCAGAAACTTACGGCTCAACTTACCCGTTCAAATTGCTGAACTTACCCCATAGCTACCATATTGACTTTATTAGCCCCCACAGCTAAAATGGTGCACTTTCATGCTAGCTGTACTACCTCATTTTGTAGTTAATAGATACCACAATTGATGTATAAAACAAATTAAAAATTATATATTTTGGTCTAAACACAATCCCCATGAAACTTATGACAGACTAAATTCACTTTCATGAGTGAAAAATGCTTTTTTGGACATAAATCTCTAACCACTTTACTCATGTGGTTCTTACCTTCACAGACTCCATAAAATGATGCCTTCCTCCTAAATATTTGGTCACATGCTTAATTTTATTTACCGTTTAATAGCAACAAGGGGTGGCTCAACTTACCCTTTGGCTCAACTTATCCCAGTCTCCCCTACAGCTCCTTTAAAGCAGTGGTTCCCAACTGGTGGGTTGCGGTCCAAAAGTAGGTTGTGGGTCCACCCTGATTCGATCACAAGTGACTCGCATATGTGTCAAGTTTGTAAAAAAATAAACAAAAAAAACATACTTTATTTTGAAGTATATATTGAATTTCCAGCATAGAGCTTTTGTTTGAAGTGCTGTTTTCTGCTGTAGAATGAGTGTCTGACGGACAGCTACTTGACAGAGACACCAAACTAGTTCGACGACATGGTAAAACGCTGTAGGACGCTGAATAGATAAATATGTTTGGACCTCAAACTTATGACTAAGGTGAAATCTGGACTCCGTGGCTGGGACAGTTGGGAACCACTGCTTTCAAGGACACCACAGAGTGTTTTGGGAGTTTTGAGTGTTTGTCCTGTTTGTCACCTTACTCATAGTGTGAAGAAGGCTGGTTTCACACAAAATGGTTCAATCATTTCAGGCTGTCCAGGTGCATTTGTAATATTAACCTTTTTTACAGATCCATCTACCAGAAGATTCGTGAATATGAGGTCCTGGACAAGAGGAAAACAGTGACAGCTCTGAGGGCAGGAGAGGACAGAGCCATACTGCTAGGCCTCAGCATGGTCTTCTTCTCTGTCATGATGTACTTTGTCCTGGGAATCACCATACTGCGCTCTTACTCTGACCGGTAATATGTCACCAAATCACTTACAGACTGATTCAGACATGCATGTTCTTTTATGTGAATTCATTGAGACTGTTGGTTAAAGATGTTGATCTGCATATTCACACTCAGTGACACACTAACCACTGAAACCACTTAAAGTGTGATGACATTTTATTTTTGACAATTATTGCTCTTTCTCTACAGTGTATGGACAGACGAGACTAGCTGCACTATTGTGAACTCCACCATCGTGTGGGATGTTAACTGTTCATACAGCTGTGGAGCAGAGTGTTGGAAGAGCTCCCGTTACCCCTGTCTCCAGGTCTACGTGAGCCTCAACTCCTCAGGAAAAGTGGTACGACTGTTGCACAATGAGGAGACGCAGAACAGCAATCCTGAGGTACACCACAACTGATAGTGCTGTTGTTGTTTCCTCTTCCCTCCCCCCTTACTAATATCTTTTATTATGTTTATGTTGTGATCCGAGGGATGGTCTATTTTAACTGGTGCAACTTTTCTAGTCTTTATGGCACTGGTTTAGCTGATCAGGAAATGCACAGACCAGTTGCATGTGAGTTAAGCCATCCCACATGATGCCATCCAGCCAATCACATCTCTGAATTCCAGGCGATAAACATTGCGACTCTGAACACAGTCAGATGAGAGAGGTGAGAGGCAAGTGTTAAGTGGAAAGACGTTAGAAATATAGAAGGATAGAAATATAGAAAAAGAAAGCGATAAAGGGAGAGTAGACAGAGAGGCGAGTGAGCGGGAGACAGGGAGAGAAGACGGAAAGGAAGAGGTGAGTGAGCGAGGGACAGAGAAAAACACAGAGGAGGAGACGAGTGAGTGTGAGACAGGGAGAGAAGACGCAGAGGAAGAGACAGCAGAGAAAATAAGTACACATGGCGTTCTCTAAGAAGAGAAAAGTGGACAGTGAAAACAGCTTTCAGCCCGGAATGGACAGACTTGTTCATGTTCATTCTTCCCACAGGGAGCACAAAACCAGTGTGTCTCATATGTTCAGAGACTGTGGCTCTCATTAAAAGTGGCAATGTGAAATGCTACTATGAGACAAAGCACAAAGTTTTTGACCAAACATACCCTCTCAAGTCTGAACTGAGGTCACAGAAAATAAGCAGTCTCAGAGCCCAACATGATCAATCCGCCAGGATCCTGGCCCATTCATTCACTGCCCAACAATGTGTTCATGAATGTTCCCTCAGAGTTGCTTGGATTTTGGGTCACAACAAAAAAAAAATTTACTGATGAAGGGATTGTCAAGGAGTGCAGTTGCCGAAACCTTACTTGAGGGAAAACAAAAAGAAGAGCTTTGTGACAAAATAAAGCAAATACCCATGTCATCATCAACCACAAAGAAAAGTAAAATATTGACCTAGGATGTGCTAGCCCAGCTGGATGAAGCCATTCATTAGGCACCATGTGTCGGCTTTGCTGTAGATGAGTCCACTGATGTGCCTGACAGTGCTCAGCTGTTTGTTTATGTACGGCTCTTCAACAAAGACAAGAAAGTGTTCTGTGAAGACCTGTTAGGTATTACTCTGCTTCAGACCAGTACCAGAGGAGAGGACATCTACCTGGCCGTTTAGGGGATGTTAATAAATTGAGAAATAGAGCCAAAACAAGTGGTTTCAATAACCACAGATGGAGCCCCTGCCATGATAGGGAGGGAGAAAGGAGCTGTGGCAATAATGAAAGAGGACAATCCTTAGATCATCTCTTACCATTGCACAATTCATTAGTCGGTCCTGTGCTACACTCTATCAGATGAATATGCTGAGGTGATGAACACAATGATGAAAATGATACATTTTCTCAGGGCATCCTCTTCCTATCAGCACCACATGCTCAGAGAATTCCTCAGAGAAGTTGATGCAAATGCTGATGATCTTTTGCTGCACATTAATGTGAGATGGCTCAGAAGGGAAATAGCAGCTTTCTTGGCAGAGCTCTGAAGTCAGAAGGCAAACAGCTTTCTCTTGTTTTAAAAGACGAGAACAAGATGGATAATGTGGCCTTTTTGGTTGATATCACTTCACACCTGAATGAACTGAATTTAAAGTTACTGGGCAAGAACAATTCAATTTGTGAACTGATGACAGCTGTCCACTCCTTTCAGAGGAAAATTGAGGTGTTCAGGGAAGACCTGTAGTGAGAGTGTGCACACTTCCCAGCAGTGCAGGTACAGGTTCAGGGACAGAGAGATATGTCTTCTTTTGTTGACTTTATTGATAAGCTGATTGTGAACGTCAGCAAACGTTTTGACAGCTTCAGTTTTGGACAGCAGCTCACCATGTTCATCCAGAACCCATTTCTCATGACAGATGTCATGGGGTTCTCAAAGGAAGTCACACAGCACTTCAAGTGGGCAAATGCTGGGCCTCTCCAGATGCAACTGGTTGATCTCCAAGCAGATGTGGCCCTGAAAGAGCAGTTTGGAAGAACTGACCTTGCCACTTCCTGGCTCCATATGGTCTCTGAGACAGCTTTCCCAGGTCTGAGGAAAGTAGCCCTGTACATCTTGACCATGTTTGGCTCCACATACGGCTGCGAGGCAGCTTTCTCCACCATGAATATGATAAAAACTAAAAATCGTTCCAGGCTTACCGATGAGCATCTGCACGTGCATGAGAATGGCCCTGACACCATTCCAGCCCAGATTTAAAATCCTGGCAGAGCAAGATCGAGCCCAGCTCTCTCACTAAACAACCAAAAGTGGAGAGAGTGGGAAAAACAGGAAAGAAAGAGGAAGTCTAAAACTGTTCAATTGTTATTAATTAATTGTAAAAATGGTTGAGACTGTTAAGTAAAGATGTCAAACAGTTAAAGAAAATGGACAATTTAAGCTGTTGCTACATTTTATTTTATTTTTTTCTAAAATTAAGCACTTTATTTTAAGATACACATTTTTTCAAAAACTATTTAATTTATTTTCTCCATTTAATTTTTAAGTTCATATCTGTAGTTCAATGTTGAGTGACAATAAATATTGTTGAAATGTTTTTGAATCGTACTTTCTTTATTTGATTTGACAGTCAGATGTTAATTACATGCAGATGTTGATACAACTGCTAAGCTACTTCAGTATATATCACACTTAATAAATCGCAAGTTAGACATTATGATGTTCTGGACTTCTGCTTTAGGAAATTTTCTCTGACTGGACCTTTTTGAATTTTAGTTGAATACCCTTGGTTTAATACATTGTTTGGCCCCTTTAAACTGTTATTTTTGACAATTATGTTACAACTTGTTTGTAGTGTAATGTAATTTAGTACATCACTAGTTTCTAACTAGTAAGTGGTTGCTACAAACTTAGGAAGGACTAGCTGCTGCCACCCAGTCCTGGACTGTGAATGACCAAAACAATCTTTACACCTGATTACATGACCAGACAGCTTTAACAGAGAAGACAATTTCTTAATTTTTCTTTTTTTTCTTTCTTTCAGTGCTTCTACACCCCAAAGTGCCACAAGGACTATACAGCCATACATGTCATAGTTCAGAACATTTCTGAGCGTCTCAGGCCTCAGCACACAGTTCAATGTTTTGTGGACCCTACAGACAGAATGGACAATGCCATCCTGACACAGATCTATGGTTCGGTCGCCGTCTTTCACTCCCTATTCTGGCCAACCTGCACCTTGATTGGAGGAACCATCATCATTGCCATGGTGAAGCTGACCCAGTATCTGTCCATCATGTGCGAGCGACTAAACCGCATCAAGAGGTGAAGGGCACTGCTATAAGTTCAAAAGGAAGTTTCCATTATATGGACATGAGAACAACCAAAGCAGCATCATGGGGCCGAGACTGAAGGACAGAGAGAAGGGAAAGCTGAGATGAGGTGTGTCTGTGACAGCTGGAATGTTGGAAATCAAAGACATGCATCAGGGACAATTTAAAAGCAGCTACACTGATGCTGGTTCGCATCTTGACACAAGTTAGACCTGCTTGTGGTTGAAGCTCAGTGAATCAAAACGATTTGTACTAATGTGACATTCTGCGTCCTGTAGCTTTACAAAGCTATTTGTTAAAGGAATAGTTCAACATTAAATACGCTTAGCAGCTTCCTTGCAAAGAGTTTGATGATCAATACTACTCTCACATTACAGTGGTTTCAGTCTACTCTTCTAACTTTTGGAAATAAAAAGCAAATAAGGTGTATTTTCTAAAATGTTATGCTATTTCTTTCTACTATTCTCAGTCAGATCTTTGAAGTTTGGTACCAAAATGTGCATTTCAGCTTTCCTGGGTCCTCTTAACAAGGGTTGCTAATACTTCACTGTATGTGTCTTCGGTTTGGGTCCTATGTGGAGAGGATTTACCAACCATGTGGTTAAGGGTGTGTATACTGAGGGAATAATGCATTAAATAAAAAAAGAAACATTTTCTGTTTCAGTCCACTTCAAGCCCACTTAACACATCCAATAATTTAATGTCATCCTCTGATGCTGGAGCTGAGGACCAGTGGATATTTGGTGGCCGCCTTTCAGATTCAGATTCTGCATATGGTATATCATGCAGAGCAAACAAGAAATTGTCTCTGGTAAGGAAACCCAGTAAAGCCCATTTTCTACAACTGTGCTTCATCAGGTCGGACAGAACTTACTCACAGCTTCACACGTTATACTGTGCTGAGTCTTTTTCTTTCTTTTTTTTAATTCAAACGTGTCTTATTACATGAATGATTGTACTATCAATAAACACAATGTGCCTGTTACCTCTCAATAATAATGTCTGAGCCTTCAGTAGTTATTACTGAATTTATGTTGACGATGTCACAGTTTGGATTATGTATGTTTCATAATGACTGACAGTTTGACAAGTCCTAAGACTGGCTGGATGGTCTGTGCTGTGACAGACAACTTTTCATTTAGTTTGGAGGGAGATAGTAAGATAACTCCAGATTTGACATGATCATTGTCAGGGTCATTCCGAACAGAATGTCCAACTCTCATCCCATTTTGTCAAATATCACTGCTTTGTCTGTGGACTACATATGATTCACTAGGTATCCTCCTGCATCTGTTGTTGATGTTGACATCGCAGATGCTGTGTTGATTTTTATTTGGTATATGCAGTGTGTCTTTTCCAAATACACTTTCATTTTCACAGGAAATGTACAGTTTCTGCTCATTATATGCATTCAGTCTTTTGTAAAATAAACTTAGAATGTCAGTAAAACACCTAGTATTTTGTTTATTCCCTTGTGCAACAAAAGCATGAGGTTAGGTTTAGAAAAAAAAACAACTCATGGTTTGGCTTAACATTCACATAGGAAGCGAACAGTGGGCGCCCAGGTGAAAGTCCATGGTTTGTTGGACCCATCCACCACCCCCCCTCCTGCCCACTTTATAAGCATTGTCCAGCTCCTTATATTGCATTGTTACTGGCGGCATCACAAACTGTCGCCAACCAGTGCAAAAGGTGCCCTTGTGCGTCGATATCTTACTAGGACATCCACTGACATAGCCCCAGTGACGACCTCCAGTTGGTGACTGCTGTGTCAACAACTGCCGCTGTCTGGTTTCCATGTATTAAAACAGACTGTTCTCATGCACTGTTACATAAACCTACAGTGAGTGATGCACCAAAATTTGTATACAACCATGACTCCCTTGAAAATTTTACTAAACTCTAAAGGAAAAAATTTTACTGTTGAAATATTATAAAACATTATATCACTCAGCCCCGGACACACACACACACACACATTTTACAGGCACGACAACATCCACAATACAAAGACTATCATGTTTTTGGTTCAATTTCACACAGACTTAAATCATGACAGGCTCACAATAAAATGACCTGCCGATTCTCGTAACCATATTAATCAAGAATAAAATGTAACTGTCTATGTCACAGCGTGCAATTAGATATAACTGCGCAGCTTTGTTTTAACTATAATGATTGGCAACAATATGATGACAATACAGTGGAATCCTCTCATAATGATCATGTCCATCCGGAACAAAACAGATGGATTCTGTCCCAAGCTTTTTGATCACTATAAATGGATGACTACTATAGCCAAATTCAAGCATTTGTATAGGAAAGATTCTGTCCCAAGCTTTTGAGGGACTATAAACAGAGGATCACTTAAACAGTGACCACTTTAAGCAGGTTAATACAAGTCCTTGACAAAACTTACTGGGAAGAAAATGAAGAAACACCCTTATAGACTGGGCTTCATCCAAAAAGTATAACCCCTGGGGGGACTGATACAGTGAGGTCAATTGAATTGAATGGAAGCTGATTTCAAACAGCAGATGTGTGCATGGATTGTGCTTCTGATGATAAAAGCATGAGATTTAGCACACTGTCAGAGATGGTTAGCTAATCATTGTATTCCTGTTTTCAGTATGCTAAGAAATTGTAAGTTAAATTATTTTTTTATTGACATGGTCGACTTTTCGCCATTTGCATAGTTCAGGTTTTCCGTAACGTTGACGTTAAAGTTAGCTAGCTAGTGCTAGCTAGCAATAGCTACAGTATTTCTTATCGGCAAGATATTTGGCATCATTTCAGTTCACACCGTGCAGCAATCCCAGGCCCCAGCAGTCCCAGCACTGGATCCCAGTCAGGCCTCAGCAGTCCATCAGAGTCAGTGCAGGAGGAAGTTTTCACTGTGGAAAATACCCTGTTTCTCATCGAGCTGATGAGGCATGTAATAGATAAGATGGGATAAGTTAAGTTTATACAGTGGAACCAGCTTGTCGTGATAACGGTTAGTGATTCAACATTTATAGTGATCAAAAAGCTTAAGTCCAGACTGGAGCCTATCATGACTAAGCTCATACATCCAGACCAGACTGGCTTCGTCGCTGGCAGACAGTTATCTAGTAACCTCCGTCGCTTGTTTAATCTGATACATGCACCCAATGACAACATCAATCCTGAGATTTTAATTTCTCTGGATGCTCATAAAGCGTTCGATAGGATCGAATATTCCTACCTGTTTACAGCACTGAAAAGATTTGGTTTTGGTTCAAATTTCTGCTCCTGGATTAAAATTCTGTACACTATGCCTCAAGCGTCTATACGAACGAACAACATAATATCCGAATACTTCCCTCTCTTCCGTGGGACAAGGCAGGGGTGTCCCCTGTCCCCCCTGCTTTTTGATGTCGCCATTGAACCCCTTACAATCATGCTAAGAAATACAGCCAGCTTAGTTGGGATACGTAGGGAGGGCCGGTTACATAAGCTTTCGCTGTATGTGGACAATCTCCTCCTTTTTCTGTCAAATCCAAATTCCTCCATACCAGTCGCTCTTAAGATGATTTCAGACTTTGGGAGTGTCTCGGGATACAAAATCAATCTGACAAAGAGCCTACTTTTTCCCATAAATGAAAGAGCTCGACAAATGTCATTTCAGTCCTTTCCATTTTCAGTAAGCCTTGATAAATTCACATATCTAGGAGTGAACGTAACATATAAATACAAGGACTTATTTAACAGCAATTTTAAAACAGCATTTGACGGGTGAGCGGCGAAGAGGAGCGGCGTAAATCGAGGCTCTTGCCAGTCGAAGGCAAATAAAACCCCTCAGCTGACTATAAAACGAATTCAAAGTCAAACTAAGCGAGGAATGAGAGGGGGAAACTGACGGAGTAGCCGAAGAATTCAAAAAACCCAGGAAAAAAGCTAGAAATCGTGATGGAAGCAAGCGTTGAAGGAGAGGAGACTGGGGGCGAGGCTGTGGCCGCGGCCCGAGAGGAAACACCGGCGCTATACAAATGCCTGGCGGACATCACCAAAGAGATACGTGAGCTCAAGAAGGCTCTCAACACAAGTTTCACACAGGAGTTTGCAAACTTCAAAGAAGACGTCAACAACAAACTTCAGGCAAACAGTGTCGAGCTACAGGAACAGAAGAAAAGTCTCAGTGAAGCCCAAACACGTATTGATGAACTCGAGACATTCAACATGGAGGCGAAAGAGGCGCTGCTGACAACACTCCGCGAGCAGAGAAAGCTGCAGGAAAAGTTAACTGACCTCAAGGGAAGGTCCAGGAGGAACAACGTGCGGATATTTGGGGTACCGGAGGGCGCAGAGGGTGAGTCTGCCCCCCACTTCGTCGAGGAGCTAATACGGAGAGAGCTAACTCTGCCCGAGGGGACCAACCTGCTGATTCAGAGGGCACACCGAGTGGGAGCGAGGAGACCCGGCCCCGGAGAAACGCCACGGTCCATAATCGTTAACTTCCTCCAGTTTGATACCAAAGAAATGATATTAAAGAAGGCCTGGCAGAAGCGGATTAAATTAAACAACACACCGCTCTTTTTTGACCACGACTACGCGGCTGAGGTGGTGCAGAAACGCAAAACCTACACGGAAATAAAAAAGACCCTGAAGGACCAAGGCATCAGATTCCAGACCCCCTTAACAAAGATCAAGATTCACTGGACAGACGGACCCCGGCTCTATAACAGCACACACGAAGCAGTAAAAGAGATGAGGATAAGGGGGATGGAGATCCAGGTGAGGGAGGCTGACGAGGGGCACACGCTGGAGGAGCGGATTCAGGCAACATCCCGGTGGCAGCGCATCGGAGATCCAGGGGCGCAAGGAGAACTACCCAAGCGTGTGAGAGGAAAGTTGCACGAGTTTCGGAGATCCGGAGACACAGACGGTATCTGAGTGAAACGGGGGGGTTTAGGTGTGATAAAATTTTACATATAGATATGGGATAAGTGGCCTCATACTGCAGGACAATATTTAGTTTTACTACGGGGGGGGGGGCATAAAGATGGCGACTATGTAAGACACTGTAATACCTGAGGTCATATTTTTAGTTTTTTCACTAATTCCTGGTAGTAATCGTAATGCACGAGGGGATTGTATTTTAGTTGATTCACTCACTTCTGGACTTAAAGCCACAGTTTTTCCCCTGCACATAGGCTTCTCCAAATAAATATTTAGACTGGTAAAGCAAGGATATTGGGAAATGTTGGACATTACTAGAAGGCAAGGGGGACCCCTTTTTGGGCCTCCACCCACCTCTAGTGAGGGGCTCCACCAATATTGGGGGACCTTCCCCTCCCCTGCCAACAAGGACTCTATACAGCTATGGAAGCCCGTTGTTACTGGAAGCACTGTTCTATTGTTATTGTTCATAATTTTGTTAATGTTCTCAGTGTCAGTGGAGATGAAGAGGGCAACCTAAAGAAAGGACAAGATGCATCATAACCAACTTAAAGTGGTGTCTTTGAATGTGAATGGGTTGAATAATCCAATGAAAAGAGGGAAGGTCATAACAAAATTAAAAAAGGAAAAGTCACAGATTAGTTATTTACAAGAAACACATTTGTCAGATCAGGAACATGAAAAATTTAAAAAGTTGGGATTTAAAAATGCGTTCTCTAGCTCATACAAAGGAGGTAGTAAGTAAGGTATTTGATTGAATGAATACAGTTGATAGATTTAGAATAGAGGAATGTAAAATTGGAGTAGCAGACTTATCGGACCACTCTATCCTTCACCTGACACTAAAACTGAACAGTAGGAAAAGGAATACAGTATGGAGAATGAATGTTAGCATACTAAATAATCCAAGGTTTGTTGAGGAGATTAAAACAGAAATAAATTTATATAGGGAAGAGAATGATAACGGAGAAGTAGATTTTACCACTCTTTTGGATGCTATGAAGGCAGTTATGAGGGGAAAACTAATATCTAAAACAGCATATTTGAAGAAAGCTAGACAGGAATTATATCAGACCAAGATTAAAGAGCTTAAAAATTTAGAACAATGACATAAAAACATGAATGACCCAGGCATACTTCATCAAATTAAAGAAGTAAAGGCAAAAATAAATGAGATTCTAGGTAATGAAGTGGAAAAGAAAATTAGATTCACGAAACAAACTTATTATGAATCGGGTCCTAAAGCAACGAAATTACTAGCTAGATGAATAAGGAAACAGCAACTCATGAATACAATCCATAAAATCAGAGACCCCCATGACCAATACTCTTGAATATGAACCAGAAAAAACTGACAAAATATTTGAAAATTACTATAAAAAATTATATTCACAGCCGGCCTCAGCGGATGAAGAGTCGATAAGAAATTTTT